AGTCAGAACCTTAGGAAAGCATCGGGCAGACTGTTTAAGGCAGCATTTCTTAAATTTTGCCAAATGTTGGTAAAAGGACAGAAGCTCAAATACATGAACTCAGTCTTCTCCAAAGCACAGTATGGTAGGTATTTTTATCCCTGTTTTACAAATAGAGAAACTATAACTCTCAGGTGCTTAACTTCCTGGGGCCCCTGGCTGGTAAATGGTAGAAGCAGGAATCGAGCCTAGAGCCTTCTCATTGCAGTCAGGCTCTCTCCACCACCTCCTGCTTCCGGCACGCTGCTTTTTTCTCAGGTCCCAAGGCTCACCTGTTTTCCTCAGTTTCCTTTACTCTTTGAACAATGTGAGCTGCTCACTGCTGTGGCCTGGCCTGGGGCTGGGCCTGAGGTCCCCAGGTCAGCTCAGCTTCGCCTCCACCCCTGGATCCTCACCTCTTGGACAGGCCCTTGGTGCTTTACTGCCTATGTGCCCAGGGGTGGCATCTTTCCTCTGTAAGCTTTGGTGCTCCAGAGCCTTGTCTAAAAGACCATCAGTTACACCCCTCTCTGCTCTAACCTGTCATTCTCTCTGGCCTGCAAGGCTTTTTCCTGCCAAAATCTCTCCCCGGCACTTTCCTTTCCAGGCAAACCCAGCTGCTCCTAGATTGTGCCAGACTCTACCATGTCTCCTGCCTTTGCACAGACTATTCCTGCCCCTCCTTCCCCACTTAGCTCCTGATGTGAGTTTTTATAGAATTGCTTCTCCTGAACCGTACTTTGATGCGAAGCTATTATAAGAAGCAGACACTTGAAACCCATTTATTATAAGGATCTAGTGTTATTGATTAGGCCACACTCATTTTTAATAAAGACCCCTGGGGAAATTCTTGTCTTATCTTAGCGCCCCAAACTGGTCCTTTCAAATGTATGCATATACTGGGGGTGCTGTTAACTGACCAGTTTCCCCTTTCACACGGCTCTCAGAGAGCCTGGAGCCCACGCCCTGCCTGGACGTGGCAGGTGTGTGGGTCACATGGGGCTGCATTCTTGGCACCTACCATTGATTTTTCTTTTCTTTGTCCCATTTTTCACTCCTGCTCTCCTGCTGTTTCATAAATCCCTATAAGCCACCTCAAAGCCTTTCTGGAACAAGGTTGGTTTAAATCAATAAACTAATCAGTACAAATAGAAAGCCTTCCTTGCAGGGTTGTAGTGAGGATTAAACGGAATAATGGATGTGAATTCCAGCCCAGAGATCCCTCCCAGGCTTGGCCAAAGGGCCAGCTGCGGCTGGGGCCAAGTCGAAGGTCCCACTGGAGGTCCCCACTCCCTGTGTGGCCTCCATTTTCCTGGCTCTGTAGGCGTTTCTTCGCCACTGCCCTCCCTGCCCTTGCCTTGCCCTCGCCACCTGTGCTCTGTTCTCCCTGAGTCCCTGTGGGTAGGAGCAGGAGGGTAGCTGTGTCTGTTCTCTCTCACCCCACTCCTCTCAGAAGTCATTCTGTCAGCAACGGGCCCCCTTTCCTTCACCCTCTCCCTGGGATCTCAAATGCCCTAAGAGCCGGGCACCTCACTTGCCCATGTCTTGGAGTAGTCAGCACATGGTGGGAACACGGTGAAGAGACTAAGAGGTCATCTGGTCCAGCCTATGCATTTGACAAATGAGGAAACTGAGGCCCAAAGAGGGAAGTGATGGAGCCCAGTCCCTAACGTGTGTCAGCTCACTCATGCCAAGTCTAAGCGTTGCCCTGCCTTCCTCAAAAGCTCCTGGGGGTCCTCACTCAGGCCAGGACCACTATCTCCAGCACAGCTTCTAAGCCTCTCCTTCCCTGACTCATTCCCACCAAGCACCCTTGTTTTCGTCATTGATTGTTGTATAGCCAAGTACCTCAGAATATACCAGCCTAAAAGAACAATAAACATCTATGATCTCACAGTTTCTAAGGGGGCTGGGCGGTCCTGGCTTGGGGTCTTTCATGAGACTGCAGTCAAGATGTGGGCTGGGGCTGTGTCTTAGTCTGTTTGGGCTGCTATAGCAAGAGTTCCATAAATGGGTAGCTTATAAACAACAAATATTTATTTATTGTAGTTCTAGAGACCGGGAAGTCCAGGATTCAGGTGCCAACAGATTTGGTGTTTGGTGAAGGTTCGCCTCCTGGCTGGGTCCTCACATGCAGAGGGGGCAGAGGAGCTCTCTTGGAACTCTTTTACGAGAGCACTAAATCCCATTCATGGGGCCTCAATCTCCACGACCTAAGCACCTCCCAAGCCCCCACTTCCTAATGCCATCACATTGGGCATCAGGATTTCAGCATCTGAATTTGGTTTTGGTGGGGTGTTGGAGGAGCACAAACATTGAGACCATAGCAGGCTGCATCGTCTGGAAGCTTGCTAGGGCTGGAGAATCAGCTCCTGTGATGATTCACCCACATTGCTGGCAAGCCAGTGCTGGCTGTTGATAGGAGGCCTCAGTTCCTCTCCATGTGGGCCTCTCCAGAGAGCTGCTGTGTCCTGATGACATTGTGGCTGGTTTCTCCGAGTGAGAGTGATCTGAGAGAGTGAAGGAAGCTACATAAAAAGATCTTTTATGATCTTGTCTCAGAAATCATCCATCACTTCTGTCATATTCTGTTCTTTTGAAGTGAATTCCTAAATCCCACCCACAAATAAGGGGAGTTAAAATTAAGCTCCATCTTTTGAAGGGTGTTAATGTCAAAGAATTTGTGGACATATTTTAAAACCACCATGAAGCTCCCATAGACACATACCAGCCATACCAAACTGTATGATACTCCCCCAGCCCTCTGCTTTGCTCCTTCCTGCCTCTGGCCTTTTGCACATGCTGTTCCCACTGCTTAGAATGTGCTTCCCTCATTTCCCTTTTCTGCCTGGTAAGCTCTCACTTACTTTTCAGCATCTGCTTCAGAGTTCTTCTCCTCCCCTTCAGGTAGAGCTGGTCACTTGCTTCTCTGAGCCCACGCATCTCTTTGGAAATACTGCCCTTCCAACATTATTGTAAACTGGAGTGTAAGCCTTTGTAGTATCCCCAGCGGGTAGTCAGCTCCCAGCACACGCTTGCTGAATGAAGGAATGGAGATTTCGTTCACTGGTTTCCCGTGTCCTCCATGGGCTGAGAGTGCTCTATACTCTGTGCATCTGTGGTGACCTCTGCTTGCGTGAGCCCAGCTGTCACTGAAGTGTGTAGGTGCTCCATCAAGGCCAGTTTGGTTCCATGTGGGGCTCCCGTGTTTGCCTTGGCTCCTATTTACTGTGACCATGCGCTCCTGAGTGCGGGCCATCTCATTTACCTCTGTGGCCTGCACAACCCTTGCTCCCAATGAAGTAATTTACCTGTCAGGTGACCCTGCCCAGCATCCCACTGATGAAGAAAGAGAGAAGAAGCCCACAAACCAAGGGAACAGTAGAACCAGGATGGGCTTTGTGGCCATGGTAGCAATTACTTGCATAACACAGAGAAACTGGGCTGGCCGATAGATACATATCTGGGAGCGGAGGAGCTGGCCTTTCTGAGCTCAGGGCCCTGTGCACTCTGCTACGGAGTTTCTGTTTTGCTGTCTCAGCAGAAAAACCCAGACAGAAGGGTGGAAGCCCCACAGCTCAGGGGACAATGTGGGAAGCCCTGTGGGCCATGTTCCCAGGGCTTGCAGTGGAGCTTGAAGCCCATGGGTTGAATGGCTGTCGGGAAGGAGATGGTCGAGCCCTGAGGGCCTGGCCCAGGAGAAGGAGCTAGGGGTCTGCGGGGCTGCCTGACACTGGGTCCCACATGAGGATAGTCAGCTTGGCAGTCTGAGGTGTCTGATGCAGGGCTCTCTGCAGACTAGACTGCCTGGGTCCCCATCCTGGTCAACCTCAGGTAAAATACTTAAGTTCCCTCCTTTGCAAAATGGGTGACAGTTTCCATTCCAGGGCTGCTGTGCAAGGAGAGGCTCTAGGACCCTACCGCCTAAGTTCAAATTCTGAAGCCACCACCTGCCAGCTGTGTTCTCTTGAAGAAACTGCTTAACTTCTCTGAGCCTCCCTTTCCTCCTTGTGAAATGGGAATGGTAATAGCACTTGCCCACAGTCACTGTGAGGGTCAGGTGCACTCACACATGTGAGGTGCTGGACACTGCAGCCTGGTGGGACATGCTCAGAACATGATGGCAGTTGGTACCACTGCTGTGGGGAGGAAAGGGGTATTTGTAAATGTCCGTAGTGAAGAGGTCGAGAGAGGCAGGTGGACAGTGCCAGAGGCCCAATCTCGCTAGAGGAGCTGGAGGAGGGGTCCAGAAGCTGGCCTAGGCTCGCAGAAGGCAGAGATTTGCAGTCCCTACAATGCCTCCTCCCTCACATCAGGATATTAATAATGGGGAGGTGAGGAAGTCCTCAGTGACCCTTACCCTCCAAGCCACAGGGCAGGGACGTGGCCCTGCAGCCCCTAGGCCAGCACGCTTCAGTCCCCATGCTCTCAGTGGTGGCTCCACTGTCTGCAGTCCTGAGAGCGAGGGATCTGGAGTCAGACCCAGCCTGGAGTTCAAGACTTGTGGGGCCACCTACTGGCTGGGTTACCTGGGGGCCAAAGGTGTTTTCTTCCAGAAAGTGAGCCTTTGGTGCACTCACCACAGGTCCCAGGGGGGATGTGGGACCCTCGAGAAGCCCTTCTCTCCTATGCCTGTTCCTTTGCATCCTTGGAGGAAGCTGTGGGGGCTGAGCTGACTTCTGTGGGTCTGGGGGGCAAGGTTGGGGTCTGGCAGAGCTGGTTACCCATGCCCCAAGCTTCTCCCTCCAGTTACAACCCCTCTGCCCATAGAATAGGAGGTGGCTGGTCACTGAGCTCCTGCTCATTCATTTGTTCAACTAATGCTTACCGGGGGTCTTTGTGTGCCAGGCACTGTCACAGGCCCTGGGATGCAGCTGTGACTGGTCCGGCTGTCTGGCCCACCTGCCTCCCTGACTCATCAGGGCCCTCTAGAGAAGTCTCCTCTGACCAGTGTTTTTCTTTCTTTGGCTTGATCCCCACAGGGACCTGAGTGAGAACACCATCCAGGCTATCCCCAGGAAGGCTTTTCGTGGAGCTACAGACCTCAAAAATTTGTGAGTACAGGCCTGGAATGGAGAGGGACGTGGACTACAGGGCCACCCTTGGCAGTCTCCTCGTGGGCCTCCCCGAGCCCTGGGGTCAAGGAGCTGGTCTCTGGTCTGAGGTGGCTGGTGCCAGCGTGGTCTTCTGGAACAACCTGAAGTGGGAGCAAACAGGCAGACTTTGAGGACCAGGCTGAAGGGAGTGTTGTGAGCTGTGGGCTGCTGGGCTGATGTCCTTGGTACATTTGAAAGGACAGGCTCCGTGCCCTTGCCCTTTAGTGGGTTGGGAGAGCTGGGCTTGACTTCTCTTTCAGGAGCTTATTATATAAGTTGCTGCAAGTCAGTTAATGCCATTGAGCCTCAGTCTATTGTTCCGTAAAATGTATATCGCACAGGCTTGTCCTGAGGTTTACATGAGATATGGCAACATACTTTGTCAAATGCAGTTTCAGTGTAATGGTTCATTCTTATTCAAGTTTATTGTGGTCCAGGTTTACCGCCTCCCCAGGGCTGACTGCAGCAGGGATGGCAAATACCCGGCATGCTTGTCACCGCCCCGCCCCCGTCCCCCCCATGCCTGTAGCAGATATTGGTAACTGATCACCGCAGCCTTTCCCGAGAAGCGGGCATCCAGGCTTCAGTGTGTTCTGAGAGCAGCTCCGCAGGCAGCCCCAGCCAGTCGGTCCCGCTTGGCCCTCAGGCTGGAATCTGCTGCCAGCTCTGGCTGCCGTGGCTTCTGTGGTAGACTCATGTCGCAGCCACCAGCACCCTGTAGGTGGCCTCCAAGACGGGGCGGGGTGCCTGCCCCCCAGGAGATAGGCAAGGTTATGTAGAGGAATATAATAAAACTTTTATTCACATTTGTTGTTTTAATAAAAATAGGAATAATTTAAGCTCTTACTATTTGGATCGACACACTTGTACTGAACAAATGATAGGGGTCAGGCCTCTTTAAAACAAAGAATCGAGGGCTTGGTAAAAACGTTTGGACGCTCCCGCTCTCAGCAACGGCGTCCTCTCTACACCCTTCCTTTGCCTCACAGGCAGCTGGACAAGAACCAGATCGGCTGCATCGAGGAGGGCGCCTTCCGCGCGCTGCGGGGGCTGGAGGTGCTGTGAGTAAAACGCAGGAGGGAAGCGGGGCCTGGAGAGTCTGCCTCACGCGGCTGCTGGGTCCCAGGCGGCTGGAGTCGGGCCTCGGAGCAGCGCAGGAGGCAGGGGATACGGGAGGCGGGTTGCAGGCCCCCCTAGACTCATGCTCGTGAGGTCATCATGCCCGCAGCAGCGTGACCAAGGTTTATCCTGCTTATCATGACACCCAAGGCGATGGCTGTGTCTTCCAGGAGTTTCTGACACCTGGCTGTTGAAACCCCACCCGTTCTTTAAGCCCGCCCAAGCCGCACCTGTCCCTCTCGTCGCTCCTTCTCCCCTGTGCTCCCGGACTCGGGGCCTATGGTGTGGCTGCCTCCTAATCACTGCCTCAGCTCAGGGCTTTCCTTGAGGGTGGCTCCGTGTCTCATGCTTTTCGGTGTAGCCCCTGGGGCCAGCCCAGCCCGGGCCAGTTCAAGGGGGAACATGGAACACAGCGTGCGAGGCGGCCTGATGTCAGAGAGGAGCCCTGCTCTCCCTCCCTCGTAAGCTCCTGCTGGACAGACGCTAACTGACTCTGGTTTCCCCGTCAGGACCCTGAACAACAACAACATCACCACCATCCCTGTGTCCAGCTTCAACCACATGCCCAAGCTACGGACCTTGTGAGTCAGCCCCGGGTGACCCGGAGGACAGCTCCAAGTGTGGCGGTGCCAGGGCAGTGGGGAAAGGGCCTTGGCTTCCACAGGCAGGGGGGGAGCTCCTCTGCACCCCCAGTGGCCAGCCAGGGTGGGCTGATTGGAGCTGGAGTCAGGGGAGGGAATCGAAAATGAAAGCATGTTGAGTGTCATTCATATTTGACTTCTTGGAAAACAAATGATTGTTTTTGTGTTTGAAAATGAGCTATGGGAGTTGGGGCGGTGGGTCCGTATGAGTCTGGGGAGGTGAATTGACATGAGCTGGGTAAAATCCAGCGGAGGGGGGTGCCCCGAGCATGCTGGGAGGGCAGCTGCGGGTAGTGCCCGAGTTGGAACTGTGGGCTGACTGGGCATAGACTGTGCTTGGGTCCAGTGCCGCATGGGGCTTGGCCCCTCCTAGGTAGAGGGATTCCCACTCTTTGGCTGGGGTCTGGGGGCCCAGGTGGGTTGTGAGTGGCCCTATCCCCCTGCAGCCGCCTGCACTCCAACCACCTGTTCTGCGACTGCCACCTGGCCTGGCTCTCGCAGTGGCTGAGGCAGAGGCCTACCATCGGGCTCTTCACCCAGTGCTCGGGCCCCGCCAGCCTCCGGGGCCTCAACGTGGCCGAGGTCCAGAAGAGCGAGTTCAGCTGCTCAGGTGGGTGCAGCCGACTGCGGCTCTCAGCTGCCCATTGCCTGCCTCCTGCTGCCCCACTGTGTCCTCCCCATTACTTCCTGTCACCACCACACATTACACCTGGCCCGCGCATCGCCTGTCCTTACCCATCACCTCCTGTCCTTACCCGTCACCTCCTGCCCTTACCCGTCACCTCCTGTCCTTACCCGTCACCTCCTGTCCTTA